AAAAAAATAAAAAAATAAAAAAAATAAAAAAAAATAAAAAAAAAAAAAAAACCGTACGAAATCGCCTATTCACTGTTCGGACTCGCCTATTCCGTACAGTGAATCGGCGATTCACTGTACAGAATCGTCCGGTTCTCTCTAGAACCGGACGATTTCCGATTTTGGGCGATCCGGTTCCTTTTCGTCTATTTCCGAGTCGAACCGGGCGAGTCCGGTTCGACTCGGCATTTTTAAACGTACTGTATATATCTATATATATATATATATATAATCTAATATAGGATTATTCTAGAATATACTAATGGTGAATTTAGAATTTACTACTCCAAAATTGATTACCATAAAAAGTCCCTTATGTGTTTTTCTTTTTGACAAGGTTACATAGGAATGGAACTTGAGACGTAGAGATATGAAAACCCCATTGCTACCGCCTTGACCAAAGCCTGATTCCTTAAAAATTCCCGTATGTGCTAAAAAATAACTTCTGATTATAAATAGTTCATGTAGTTTAGGAAGGATATTATTGTCTTTTTAAAATCCATTCAAAACTCATTTTCAAATTTAAAAAGATCCTTTTGATTTCTTGAATGATGAGTGGATCTTTAAAGCAATTTAAAATTACAAATATCCTTTCTCAAAATCTTCAAACAAGCTATTGTTAACACATTTTTATATTTATAAGAGCATTTTTTAGCCAAAAATTTTGGAGTAAGAAATTCTGAGTTCACCACTATTGTGGTGTATTCTAGAATATCCCATGTACATATTTAAGGGTACAAATATGAGGCATTCAATTAGAGTGGGGACCCTATGGAGATAAGAGACTTTGGAATAGGGCACCTACGGAGTGGAGCCCTAGAAGTGGGAGTCTAGGGTAGCCTACCTTCTTATCCAATTCAATCTCCATTTCTCCTACAATTAGTATCATTAATTGGGAATGCATTACAGGTCTGAAAATTTGAGACGAGTCAAACCCTAATTTTCACAGACAACAGATCTGATAAATTAGTGAGGTGCGTCAAACCCTAATTTTAAGGATATTCCTCATCTGGGTCGAGTTTGTGATGTTAAACGAAAAAACTCTACAACTGAATGGGATTCATTGTTATGTGTCAAACACCATTGTTGGACATTTCTTAATACATTGCACCTCTATCATGAGTTGTAAGACTCATATTTTACTAAGATCACTTGTATGGATAGTCTCAGATCTCCGGGTAGTGTCAAATCAGGTAGTTGTTTGTGATAATCAATAGTTTTATTTTTATTTTTTTGTGGTAATCAACGAGGCTTTTTGGTTGGTTTTTTGTAGTGTAGTGGCTGATATGCCAAATAAGAGTGATTCAAAGCACTCTTCTACCACCACCAATACTCAGGGTGTAAACACTCACATGAAAATCCATGGAGAAAACCATGGACCGCAGATTACTATTGTTAGACTTGATGGAACCAATTCTTCAGAGTGGTCACAAAATGCTAAAATGGTTATTGGTGATAAAGGAAAGTTGGGATACATAACTGGCAAAGTTGTTGAACCTGAAGATACAGGTCCTTCATATGAAAAGTGGGAAACTAAAAACTTGACTGTAATGTCTTGGTTATCACACTCAATGCAACCCTCAATCAGTATGGGTTTTCTGTTTCTTCGGACTACGAAAGAAATATGGGACTTGGTACACCAAGCATATGCCCAAAGCAAGAATGTGTCCCGGGTGTACCAATTGAGAAAGGAGATATCCCATCTTCAACAGGGGAGCAGTCTCTAGCTGCATATTTTTCTTGACTTCGCAATCTATGGGAGGACTTAGATCATTATCAGATGTTTAAACCAGTCTGTAAGCAAGATGGGATAAGTACAACGAGTTTGTGGAACAA